ACTTCATTTTTGTGTAACCCGTTTGTGATTATTAATGCAAACTTTATTTGGCCAATTTCAGATATATCAATAAGTCTCTACAACTTATGCTATTTTTAATTCAAAGCACAAAAATAATTCTACACGGAAAATTCCTAATTTCATAGTAAATTAATTTGAAGAAAATATTGGAAAAAAAAGAAAACTGATATTGTCTTTCCTATAGCCATTCTTTTCTCAAAATCTACTTTATTAAGGGACAAAGTGCTGCTTCAAAAAGCACTATTTATTGTCAGCAAAAAGTTCTGCTACTTTGTAATGGCTTAAGTGGCACAGTATGAAAGCTATAAAGTAATTTAAATCTGTTACCTCCCATGCAGGGACATTTTCTCTGAACTTCTCGTTCACCATACAGCAGATTGACATTAAGTAGGCCTTGCTGGACACTTCTGGGGAATAATTCATCCAGAGGTAATTTTCGAGATACTGACTGTGAAGTGAAAAAAAAACAAAAAACAGAATATTTCATTTGTAACCACTTCCCTCTGCAATGTGCCACTCACTTGGAAAATTAATTACTCAAAACTTGCAAAATACATTTTGAAATCTGATATTTATTATTTGAGAATGATTCAACTTTGATCTGTCATCTAGATCACTGGTCCCTGCAGCAAATGTGGCTTTATGCAATGAGAGTCTTTGTTTTGTTTTGTTTTTTAATGAGAGTCTTATACTCACAACTACGCAGACAACAAAAATTACTGACATACATGATTATTACCACACACCACTGGTTATTTCCCCCCTACGGTGCTTCAGGAGGTGAAAGCAAGAAAAACACCAACAAAAAGATCTTATAAATAACAGATCTACAGCAAAATGAAATGATGGCACCTTCAGCATTAAATGTATCTGAGACATTTATGCTAACTCAAATTAGGACCAAAAGACTCACAGAAACTTAAGAGACTTAGTCAGAAAGAAGCTTTTACTATTTAATTCACAAGGTAGTCAACATAAATTGGTTTTCATGGTACTGACATTTTCCTTTAAGGTGCCAAAGTTCTCAATTTGACTTTTAGTGAAAATAAAAGCCTTTTTACTTCTTCACTAAATTAACCCGCATGCCTAACCTTTCAACTACTTCACACACACACACACACACACACACACACACACACTCATACACACCAACTGCTAAGAATTTTAGACACTTTGATAATATTATAGAGAAGACCGATGACGTTGTGTGTTAGGTGAGGAGCTGTTGACTGTAGGGTTGATGGTTAAAACCCACAAACTACTCTGCAGGAAGAAGATGAAACTGTGCTCTGGAAAAGGTTTGCAGTCTCACAAATTTGTTTTTGTTTTTTTTGTGTGATTTATAGTACTACAACCCTTCTACTTCCTCTAATGATTCTGCTCTCACAGGTGTTTGCATGGGTCTATCACTGATTGTCTTTCTCGCAATTTAATAAAGAAAATTTTGTCTGAAACAATGGTCAAAATGCTCCATATGACTCATAAATGAAATGTATGAGCCTTCATTGCTTCCTAACCCCACTAAGTGAACTGGGTTTTATCTCAAATTTACCTGTAGACACTGGACTTTAGGCTGAAATGCCCTAATGTGACAAGAAGCAGTTAACTACTAGCCCAAGCCCAAGGATATAGAATTAGTAGACTTTTGTTTGACTATCTTGCCTTGAGAGTGCCCAATGAGCCTCCACTCAAGTACTCCCTCAATGCAAGAATAATTTCTTCTATTAAATTGGCATTCTATGATGCTCACCTTCCCGACACAACCACTGAAGACAAAGCGGGTGAATAAGCAAATGTGGTGAAGAAAGCTGATGGTGCCCGGCTATCAAAAGATATAGCGTCTGGGGTCTTAAAAGCTTGAAGGTAAACAAGCGGCCATCTAGCTCAGAAGCAACAAAGCCCACATGGAACAACATATCAGCCTGTGTGATCACGAGGTGTTGAAGGGATCAGGTATAAGGCATCATCAAAACAAAAAATCTTACCCTAGTGAATGATGGGGGGAGTGCGGAGTGGAGACTCAAAGCCCATTAGTAAGCCACTGGAGATCCCCTTGTATAGGGGTCTCGATGAGGAGATGAGCCAGTCAGGGTGCGATGTAACAACGATGAAAAATACAACTTTCCTCTAGTTCCTAAATGTTTCCTCCCCGCTCCCACTATCATGACACGAATTCTACCTTGCAAGTCTGGCTAAACCAGAGGATGTACGCTGGTACAAATAGGAACTGGAAATACAGGGAATGCAGGGCGGATGATCCCTACAGGATCAGTGGAGTGAGTGGTGATACTGGGAGGGTAGAGGGAGACTGGGTTGGAAAGAGGGAACCGATTACAAGGAACTATATGTGACCTCCTCCCTGGGGGATGGACAACCAAAAAGTGGGTGAAGGGAGACGTCGGACAGGGCAAGATATGACAAAATAACAATTTATAAATTATCAAGGGCTCATGAGGGAAGGGGGAGTGGGGAGGGAGGGGAAAAATGAGGACCTAATGACGGGGGCTTAAGTGGAGAGAAAGTGTTTTGAGAATGATGAGGGCAATGAATGTACAAATGCGCTTTACACAATTGATGTGTGTATGGAATGTGATAAGAGTTGTATGAGCCCCTAATAAAATGATTAAAAAAAAGAGAGAGAGAGTGTCCAATGAATGGCGGTCTGGAACTACATATATTTACTATTTTAATGCCCTCCTCACTTCATTATGACATGTAGTGATCTGGAAGGTGTGGCTCTGCTGTTGTGAATGAATATTATTGGAAAATCCGTCCTATCGCCAACCGCCATTGTTTATGTAAACAGTATCCAGTCCCTTAAGCGTTTAATCTGTACAAGTCAATAATTCATGTACTGTGGTTCATTGCTGACCTGTACTTGTAAAAATTTCCTTTTCTCAACAGTGTTTTAAATTATATACCATTGACTAACTCATGGCACTATCAGTGTGTAGTGGTTACACATTGGGCTGCTAACCATAAGGTCAGCAGTTCAAAACCAGAAGCCAGCTCCACAGGGGAAAGATGAGGTTTTCTACTCCAGTGAAGATCTGCAGCCTTGGAGACTGAAGGGGCAGTTCTACCCTTCTCTATAGGATCGCTATGAGTTACCACTGATTTGTTGGCAGTAGAAGGGATGCTGCAGGGGCATGATTGATAATATTCCCTAACATAAAATGACAGTGATATCTCTAAATTGAACCAGAGACATATATAAACCATAGATTCATGAATGGATTTTGTGCTTACATATAAGTCTAGGCCCAATGGCTTTTATGGCATGGCTCTGTTGGATGCTTGACCTCATGAAGAGATCAGGGAAGACATGGGAGCTATATTAAAGTGTATTGAAGAAACTAGATCGCGCTTGCCTATCAAAAAGAATATCATCTAGGGTCTTAAAGGTGGTTGTTGTTGTTTTTTCTCCAAACAAGCAGCCATCTAAGTGAGGGGTCAACTAAGTCCATATGAAAGAAGCACACCAGCCTGTGTGATCCAAGGATTGTAAATAATATAATCCAAATCTAAAGGAGGGAATGATACCAGAGGTCAAATTGTGAACAACTGGTTTGCAGAAGGCTATGGAGGGCAAAATCCATTTGAAAGGCCTACACATGGATTAAGCCTCCGGTGAACCCCCTCTGATCATAGCTGAAGGATGGGAAAAGCCCTGTTATCAGACAGAGCATTGTCAAGTCTGTTATGGCAGATGTAGTATCTTATTATTTGATCTCCCTTTGACTCATTTTAAAGCTGTTTCTGTTAAATGAAAGGAAAAAATGTCAAGGGGAAATATACATGGATTAAGACCCTATAGCCATGGACCAGAGATATGAAACACCTGACTAATATGCGGAATGCAGTGAAAAGTGGATTGCTGTAGTGCAGTTAGGGTAAAAGTTAGCAATCTATCACTTCATCTCCTTATGATGCATTAAATGTGTTCTAGTTTTTAATATTTTCTACTTTTCAGTTGAAGTTTTTATCTACTTTATGTTATTAGCTTGATTTATCTTTTCATGTTTTTCTGTCTATGAAATCTAGGGTAACCTGTCTATGAAATCTAGGGTAACCTAGAGACAGCAACTGGATGAATGGTCCCTTGGAGCTACGGCAGGGAAGGTTGGGGGGAAGTGGGGAGCTAATAACAGTGAGTACAAGAATGAAGAAATGGTCGAAAAATGATTGTGGTGAAAATTATACAACTCTTCTTGATGTGAATGAACTATGAATTATAGGATATGTGAATTAAATGCCAATGAAACTACTGGGGGTATAAATTTCTTCCTGAATTATGTAATTGTCCTTTTATTCGCAAGTCTGGTAATGTGAATTCATCTGTCCCAATTGCTCTATTTCATAAAATTTAACTAAGCATAGAATTGTAATTTAATATTGGTTGTTATCTCTGTACTGATTTGGTTCCATTATCTTTTCTACTATAATTGACAATATAGCTTAGCACAGAGGGGGAAAAAAGGAAATTGTTAGGTTTTACTTTCAATTTTTTTTTGTTTCACTTTAAATTAATGCCACTGATCACTAAAGGAAGTAAAAATTTATTATTGAATCACTAGATTCAAATAAGAGTTTATAAATTTCCCTGCACAGTTTCCTAACTAGTAAGAAACAACTCCAAAGACAAGTTATACTGATAAGGCCAAATCTTTGAAAACAAACATTCTATACAATATTCCATACAAACCATACACACATTCCAAAATAAGCTGACGTCAAAAATACTAACCTTTATAAATTTTAAATCATTTTCCTCTCACCAAACATATTGCCATCGAGTCGATTACAACTCATAGCGACCCGATAGGGCAGAGTAGAACTGCCTGTGTAGGTTTCTGAGACTGAATTCTTTACAAGAATAGAAAGCCTCATCTTTCTCCCACAGAGTGGATGGTGATTTCGAGCTGCTGACCTCTCAGCTAAGAGCCCAACATGTAACCACTACATAAAACTACTCAGAAAATATAACCAAAAAATAAATTACATTATCATCTTTACTCTCATCAGAATATACTTGACTATATTGATACTCACCTAAATTCCAGAAGCATTATCTTTCGAATGGCAAATCTAAAATTATAAAAATAATAAAATTATTTTAATAGCACATGTAGATATTTCAGTTATCAATGCCAATGCATATTGAAATCTTTTGTTTTAACATTAACTCACACATGAGAACAAGGACATTTTAATATGCACTAAAAATAAAGTTAATCTTATTTTTTATGTTTCCGGGTCACTTAGCTTATTTTTAAAGTTTCCCAAGAACATGTACATAAGTGAAATTATATCCTACTTATGTAACAAATTCAATCAGCACTATTACAAAGTGGGGAAGAAACAAGCACCA